GACATCCTTTAAGACTGTCTTTTTAGCAAAAAATTTCAGTAAAGTGTTTTCTGTAATCTTTTTTTATAAGACGAGAACTAATTATTGTCCATACTTGTAGCATTCTTCATTAAAGTCTTGCTTCTCTCAACTGTAAGTAGCTGTTTAATTGCAGCACAGCATGTAGTCACAGAGGGAGGTAGCAAAATGTTGAACAAACTTTGCTGAACTATCTTGATTAAGAAGCTGATGTCAGACTGTACTGAATGTTTTAGTTCTTGGAAGCTATGTCAGACGGAGGATGTGGAAGTTCTTCTTAACCTGTCTGTTTCCTCATATATCTTTTCTGGGAACAAAAGAATTCCCCGTTTCTCACTTCTGAGTGACTGAAAGGCAAGGATTAAAGAAATGCTAAAGTTTAAAAATTCATCATGTTGGCTAATGCCTGTAATCCCAGCACTTTGGGAGGCCGAGACGGGAGGATCACTTGAGGTCAGGATTTCAAGACTAGGCTGACCAACATAGTGAAACCCTATCTGTACTAAAAATACAAAAATTAGCCAGACGTGGTGGCAGGCACCTGTAATCCCAGCTATTCAGGAGGCTGAGGCAGGAGAAGCACTTGAACTCTGGAGGTGGAGGTTGCAGTGAGCCAAGATAGCACCACTGCACTCTAGCCTTGGCAACAGAGCGAGACTCCATCTGAAAACAAAACAAAACTGGCCGATGTGGTGGCTCACACCTATAATCCCAACACTTTGGGAGGTTGAGACGGATAGGATCACCTGAGGTCAGGATTTCAAGACCAGCCGGCCAACATGATGAAACCCCATCTCTAGAAAAAATACAAAAAATTAGCTGGGTGTGGCGGCAGACGCCTGTAAGCCCAGCTACTTGGGAGGCTGAGGCAGGAGAATTGATTGAACCCGGGCGGTGGAGGTTGGAGTGAGCCGAGATCACCCCATTGCACTCCAGACTGAGTGACTCCATCTCAAAATTAAAAAAAAAATTTCATCCATTAGTTATAAGTTGGAAACTTCGTACAGCTTTGTTACCTATTAACTGTTTAGGGGTTTAGTACCTATTTTTCTTCTATCAACCAACCCCAAATGAAACCACAGGGAGTGGTTGAGAATTTGAGCTCCTCTCGAGCCAGCCGCCTTCTGCTTGCAGTTGGTTTGGTCTCCCTCTGAACCGGATTAGAATCCAGATGCTTTTCTCCCCTCAACTCTCCTTTAACTCGATGGCACTTTCCAGGAAGGAGAGTGAAACTGATGTATTTAGGGAAGCAAAATATCCTAATCAGTGTTTCTCCAACTTGAGAATGCCTATGTTCGTTAATATTTTTTCACATAATTCAGTGTTTTTTTATTATCATTATTGAAATGTGTAGAGAGATAAAACTGCTTACAACTTCTGTAGAACTATAAAGCTTACCATGAACTGACGATTGTTTTGCTGAATCCATGTCATTGCTTATGACATGAGTAGTGCTGGGACTGCGATGTTGGTGCGACTCGGGTGGGGAATGCCTGTGTCATGTGTGTTGAGAGAAGTTTCCAGCCTCTTCTACCTGTCACTTGAGTGAGGCTGCCACAAGCCACTGTGCTCCCAGAGTGCTGTGATATCATTTGGCGTTTGCTAGAACTGAACCACACTTACGGAGTCTGTTTTCTGCTTTATTAGCTTGTCACACTGAGTCAATGCAAATAATTGCTAGAAGGTGTTAATACTGTTTTGTTTTTTTGTTTTTTAAGATTATGACTAAGGCCAGGCGCAGTCGCTCACACCTGTAATCCTAGCACTTCAGGAGGCCAAGGCATGGGGATCACTTGAGCCCAGGAGTTTGAGACCAACCTGGGCAACATGGTGAAACCCCATCTCTACAAACAATACAGAAATCAGGCAGGTGTGGTGGTGCACTCCTGTGGACCCAGCTATTCGGGAGGCCGAGGTGGGAGGATCGTTTGAGCCCAAGAGGGTAAGGCTGCAGTTAGCTATGTTTGTGCCACTGCACTCCAGCCTGGAAGACAGAATGATACTGTCTCAAGAAAAAAAAAAAAAAAAAAAAAAAAAAAAAAAAAAAAAAAAAAAAAAAAGAGATTATGTCTAAAAAATGTTTAGGCAGTGTCAGAACTCGGAGACTGACAGCTTAAGAATGAGAAACACTGTCCTGGTGGTTAAGAGCATGAGCCTCCACCAGGGACCCAGTTCTGCCAAGTGTGTTTGTGGGACTGTGAGCCACTGCTGGAATCTCTGAATGTCTGTGTCCTCATCTCTAATACCGGAGCTCACAGTACCTCCCTTGCAGAACTATTATGAGAGTAAGATGCAGGTAAATGTTAGCTCACTGCCTGCCATGAAGTAGGTGAATGTTGAAATCATGAATAAAAGAATAAAGATTGAGGATGTGAATAATATAATTGTCTTTAAGTGGGTTCTGGATAGCTTTTTCCTCCCTATGAGTGCTGAAAAAGACATGAATAAAAGGAAGATCAGCCAGACACTGTGGCTCACGCCTGTAACCCCAGCACTTTGGGAGGCCAAGGGTAGATCATGAGATCAGGAGTTAAAGACCAGCCTGGCCAAGATGGTGAAACCCTGTCTGTACTAAAAATTCAAAAATTAGCCAGGCATGGTGGCAGGCACCTGGAATCCCAGTTACTCAGGAGGCTGAGGCAGGGAATCGCTTGAACCTGGGAGGCGGAGGTTGCAGTGAGCTGAGATCACACCACTGCACTCTAGCCTGGGCAACAGAGCAAGACTCCGTCCCAAAGGAAAAAAAAGATCTAAGGCTGGGCGTGTTGCCTCACGCCGGTAATCTCAGCACTCTAGGAGGCCAAGGTGAGTGGATCATCTGAGGTCAGGAGTTCGAGACCAGCCTGGCCCACATGGTAAAACCCTGTCTCTACTAAAAATACAAAATGTAGCTGGGCATGGTGGTGGGTGCCTGTAGTTTCAGCTACTCGACAGGCTGATGCAGGAGAATCACTTGAACCCGGGAGGTGGAGGTTGCAGTGAACCAAGATTGTGCCACTGCACTCTAGCCTGGGCAACAGAGTAACTGTGTCTCAGGAAAAAAGAAAAAGATTGAGGGTTTTTTAATTTTTTTTTTAATTTTTATTTATTTATTTATTTATTTTTTATTTTTTTTGAGACGGAGTTTCACTCATGTTACCCAGGCTGGAGTGCAATGGCGCGATCTCGGCTCACCGCAACCTCCGCCTCCTGGGTTCAGGCAATTCTCCTGCCTCAGCCTCCTGGGTAGCTGGGATTACAGGCATACACCACCATGCCCAGCTAATTTTTTGTATTTTAGTAGAGACGGGGTTTCACCATGTTGACCAGGATGGTCTCGATCTCTTGACCTCGTGATCCACCCACCTTGGCCTCCCAAAGTGCTGGGATTACAGGCTTGAGCCACCGCGCCCGGCTTTAATTTTTATTTTTAAAAAGATGGGGTTTCACCATGTTGGTCAGGCTGGTCTTGAACTCCCAACCTCAGGTGATCTGCCCGCCTTGGCCTCCAAAGTGCTTGGATTACAGACGTGAGCCACCACGCCCAGCCAAAAGATTGAGGTTTTTAATAATACCGTCTTTCAGTGGGTTTGGAGAGCTTTAGGTGACTTAGGTGGAAGGTGTCAGGACGAGGACTATCAGTGGAGGGGTATGAGCACCATCTTGGCACTGTATTCATTCATTTACATCTTTGCACACACACATGCTGTCGTTTGCTCTGAGCTGCAGCATTGGGCGGAGATAAGTGTTTATAGGAGCAATTTGACGTAAGAGAACAATCTCCCTAGCCAAATTTTTGTCAGTGTATTCACAAAGTTATAAACTTACCCAGTATTATATCCCCAATAAGAAAGAACTAAAAAATGACAGCCCTAAGGAAGGGTGGAAAGACCTCTTCTGAGATGGCAGATTCTATGTAGCACCCATGAAGACGGTCTGGTAAGCCACTGAGTTTATGAGGTAAAAGCAAAACTTCCTCCTGGAAGTATCATGGCAGTTCTATTATGAATATCTATGTGTGGCTCTGAAATGAACCTAAATGTGACTTGTGCAGTTAATCATTACCCCAGTGGTTGTCTCAACGACTTGATTCCCCTAGGCTGCGAGCAGTTCATCTGGAAAGGAGGCTCCAGAAAGCAGCATGTCCCCCTTGCTCTTTGGGGCTGGGCTGGTGGTTTTGAATCTGGTGACGTCTGCCAGGAGCCAGAAGACAGAACCTCTGAGTGGCTCTGGGGACCAGCCACCCTTCCGTGGAGCTGACCGATATGACTTTGCCATCATGATCCCTCCAGGAGGCATGGAATGCTTTTGGCAATTTGCCCACCAGACTGGATACTTCTATTTCAGTTACGAGGTATGTGGGTGACTGGCCATACTGGGGGCTTTTTTTTCCTCCTTTACTCATAAAGTGGGTCAGGTTTCAGATGAAAACAAAGTCAGGTTGTCTTTATCATGCTGTGATTCCCTACCTGTTAATGAAATGGAACTGCAGTTAGAGGGAAACTCCAGATGGGTGAATAATCAACAGGAGCTAAAACATATGGTTTGGCTTCTCACATAAGGGGCCATGCTCAAAGCCATGGGGCAGATGGGGTGCCTCTTCCTGAAGAGGTCATCATTACATGTACTTGGATTTGTGGGTAAGAGGGGAGAGAATACATTTTTAAAATATTAAAATGGATATGGTGCTTTGGAGACTGATCCAGAGATTTCAAAGAAAGCCACTTCATGGCCGGGCATGGGGGCTCACACCGGTAATTCCAGCACTTAGGAGGTCAAGGAGGGTGGATCACCCGAGGTCAGGAGTTTGAGACCAGCCTGGCCAACATGATGAAACCCTATCTCTACTAAAAATAACAAAAATTAGAGCCGGGCACGGTGGCTGAAGCCTGTAATCCCAGCACTTTGGGAGGCCGAGGCGGGTGGATCACGAGGTCAAGAGATCGAGACCATCCTGGTCAACATGGTGAAACCCCGTCTCTACTAAAAATACAAAAAATTAG